TGATAGTGTCTCTTAAGACAAAGGAAAAAGGTTTTCTAGGCAAGCCTTTAAGAGGATCTGAGGAAGATGTGCCACTGAATTATTGAAGTGCTTAGCTCTTCTTTTTGCCTTCATGACCATGCTTCTTTAAGCAGAACAAGTCTCCAAAATCTAAAAGAGGGAGAGGTCAGGAACTCACTTAAGAGAAGAAAGAGGATTTTTCTATTTATTTAATTTTAGTTCCCACCCCCACAACACTATTAAATGTCGAGACAGAGGGGACCAACAAAATAGTAAGTGTCCAAAGGATTCTGCAACAGATGTTGGAAGAGGCATAAGGAAATAGTGGAGGAAAGCTCTGATATAATAAGCTAATTGGATCAACACCCCACATGCAGCAGGTTTAGTTCAATGCCACAATGTGTCAGAAGGCATTTCATCATTGGATTTTTATTACCCTCTCCTTTTTTTAAAAAAAGAAGGCAATACTGCTCCTCATGCCACTTTTTATTACCATCTTGTACTCAAAATAAAACAATATACAGATTGCTTTTTAAAAAAAGCCTCAGATTCCTTTTTGCGTTAAAAACAGTTTATTAAAGATCTTACATGAACACTAAAGACCAAAGCATCTTATTTTGCACAGTGACTTAATAAAAGCTCAACAGAAAGAAACCCAGCACATTTTTGTCCACCTTTTTTTGTAACTCTTAAACTATCAACATCTTTTTTGGTGAACATACTGCAAAAAAGATGTTGAGACTTTGGGAAAAAGTGCAAAGAAGAACAAGTAAGGTGACTGAGGGCCTGGAGACAAAAATTTATGAACAACAGTTTCAGGAATTGGGTTTGGCTAGTCTAGAGAAAAGAAGGACTGGGAGTGGGAACATGATAGCAGTATTCCAGTATTTGAGGGGCTGCCACAAAGAGGAGGGGCTCAACTTATTTTCCAAAGCACCAGAAGGCAAGACAAGAACCAATGGATGGAAACTAATCAAGGAGAGAAGCAACCTGGAATTAAGGAGAAACTTTCTAACAGTGAGAACAATTAACCAGTGGAACAGCTTGTTCTCTCAGAAGTTGTAGATGCTTCATCATTGGAGGTTTTTAACAAAAGCCTGGACAGCTATCTATCTGAAATTGTGTAGGGTCTCCTCCTTGAGCAGGGAGTTGGACTAGAAGACCTCCAAGATATCTTCCAGCTCTATTCTGATTGATAAGGTTCACAAGCTTATTAAAGAGTACATTGTAGTTTGCTTGTTTGCTTAAGTGCCTCCCTGAGGAAAAGGTCTAGATTTTTAGAACTGACATTTCTTGAGATTTTGCAATATTCCTGTTGCCAGGATTCTATAAATATAAGACAACAGTCTCAAGACTATTTGGGAGTTCATAATTAGCAAGGATTTATCATATAAAGAGGAGCATGTGGCTCACATAGTTAGGATACTGAGTTGGAGGTTAGGAAGACCATGTTTGAGACCCATGTGCTGCCATGGGGTGAGGTGAGCTCTCGTCCTTCACTCCAGCTCCTGACAGGGACATGAAAGGATCCCCGAAGTGGGCATTCTCTGAGCAACAGTGATGTCACAGGCTAATCTTTTCCACCCAGAAGCACCTCAATATTTCTGATACAAGTGCAATGTGATCATATAATGACAAATATATTTTGTATTTCTCCTGATCATATACTGTATATAATTATTTGTTTTTTTTCTTTCCCAGTTATCATAGCCATAGAGATATACCAAGGGAATGTGTTTTTTCCTCTTCATACTATATAGAAAAATGCCTATTTTTTGTAAACAAATTTGCACTCATGAAATGCTCTGTGATTTATTTTATTTCATTTTCATCTAACAGATCTTGCTTCAAAATGAAGAGCCCCCAGTTGTGCAGGGGGCTTTCATGTATCCCATCACAAACTGTAGATGCCTTCTGATTGTTTTCAGTGCAGGACATTTTAAATATGCCTTCATATTTGTTTTGAGCAAATAATCAGGAAAACTTGTAGTCTTAGTACAGTCTATATCTCTGCAAGCTCACAAATGGTGTTTCATTAGTAACATTAATTATTCAGCTTGGGAGATTAAACTTCTCAGTTAAAGTGAAAGGCACTAGCGCTGTGCAGTGTTTTGGATTTGGTGTGGCAGAGAAACATAGCACCTTTCAGCATTCCTTTAAATTGTGTCTCTTTTGGAGATCTCATTGCAAGAGGAAGTTGCAGGAAAAGATACATTTCTTCTATCCTGCTCTATGGAGTAGACAGTTGGTCTCTGACAGAAGGCCACCTGAAAAGACTAGAAGCATTTGAAATGTGGATCTACAGGCGGCTGTTATGTATAAACTGGGTTGACAAGATCAGAAATGAGGAGATGATAAGCCGCCTGGGAAAGCCAAGGGAAATCATCAAAACAATTAAAAAACGAAAATTAGAATATTTCGGACATGTGATGCGACACCCAGAAAAATACGGCATACTCCATTTAATCCTCCAGGGAAAGATCGAAGGCAAACGAGGTCCAGGCAGAAAAAGAACATTGTGGCTTCAAAAACTAAAGGACTGGTTTGGACAAAACTCAGCAGCACTTTTTCGTGCGGCTGCTGATAAAAACAGGATCGCCAACGTCTGATAACGGATATGGCACAAGAAGAAGAAGAAGTTGCTTAAAGTATCCAACACCTAGAAAGCTAGTTTATGATGTAAATTTTTGCCTTAAAATTCAAAAGGGATGAAAGTTTTGATCCTCATTTTCTTCTGTTCATTTTTATCTCACAGTGGCTTTGTACCCATGAGAAGACTGCTAAAGAATCTGCTTCATCCTGTGATTTCTATAACTAGCATTGTCTCCAGATCTATTTATCTCTGTTAAAGAGGTTGACAGTCAATGGGCAAGTCAATGAGATAAAGACTCCACCCAAGAACTCACAGTTTAGAGCAATCCTGCAGATTCGTTTAAAGCGCAGTAATTCTTTTCCTGGGCAGCATTTATATTTTGGTAGTTATTCAAGTAGAGGAGGAAAGGGAATAGCTGTATCATTTGCCAGATATTTCTGGGACTGGTTGCAAAGAAAAAATGGTTGGCGCCTCCCCTCCTTCCCCCAACTACCGAATGCTATTTCTAAGTCAAAAGCAAATGGGTTTTTAGTAATAAAGATTCCTGTTTTTGTGATCTATTCTTGTCACCTCATCTGGAGGAAGTTTGTCATGGGGAGATTAAGATTCTTTGTTGGGCAGACAGCATGTCTACTAATGTAGCTGTTTTATCTGAGCCTGAATCTAGCTGTACCAAATGGAAGAGAGGGAAAACAACAGTCTGCCTCCTTTTCATTAAATGTGGGCTCAGCAATAAGTGAAAACAAAACCTCAGCATATCAATGATACAAACAATTGTCAGAACTAATCCTTCCATTCTCCTTTCCCATCATCCAACCAGAATTGATGAAGCTTCTTGGATGAAAAGCAAAATATCTTCATCTTCCTCAAGGGAAAAAAAATAGTGCAGTACAGAAAAAGCACCTTTGAAATATGCAAACAATTGTTTCCAGAAAAATGTGCTAAGGGCTACATTGCAGTCTTCTCCATTGGACTTCAGTTCCCATGAGTTATGCTAACTAGTGGTTAGGGGAAGAGGTCCAATATATCTGAAGGGCACTTGATTAGAGAAGATAATTCAAGTGGCATTTGGGATCTACCCAAAACTTCAGCCTAGTCCAGGGGTAGGCAACCTCGGCTCTTTTATGACTCATGGACTTCAACTCCCAGAATTCCTGAGCCAGCATAGCTGGCTCAGGAATTCTGGGAGTTGAAGTCCATGAGTCATAAAAGAGCCGAGGTTGCCTACCCCTGGACTAGTCAATACAGATTTTGAGGCAGATTGCTGAAAAAGGAGAAACACTAGGACCCAGTGGACTCCTAAATAACCTGTCCCTGCAACACACTACAGAAAAATAATTTATCAAATGGGGAGAAGGCAACCCCATCTTTGCTATTATATTTTATATATTATTATATCTATTTTATTCTTAATCCAATACATCAATTTTATATTCATTTACTTTTAACATAATCACTTTTTTCTAAAAATACAACAAAAATTTGCCTATTTCCCATATTTCATTTTTTATTTGTAAACACCAATAAATCCTCATCATTAAGTCCTGGTCATCAAAAGTCCATTAAGTGTTACAAAAAATCATAACATACATGTTTTAACCATGATCAAATAACCAAACTTTATATTATTTTGCTTTTAACAATCTTGATTTTATTAAATTAAAATTAATTAATTTTAAATAATGTCCAAGCCCTTGATTTTTTTTTCTTTATCACTTTGTCTATTCTCAAAACTCCTTCAAAATATTAACAAGTCTCACTTGTAAATCCAAAACAAGCAGGTTATCCAAGTCTGCCTGGTTACTTGTATGTCCCTTTTAATTATTAAGACACAAGCTGGTAGTATTTATAAATCCAGTGTAATTGTTATGAGCCACAATTCAGAGTATAACTCTGACCTTGAATCTGATGTTGCTTCAGCTGAATCTGTGCTTCAGAATTGTAAATCTCGGGAATCAGTAAGTTGGGATTGAATTGAGGCTGATCTCCTGTTCACTGGAGCAGTGAGGTGACAAGGCACAAATTCCAAGGCCCAGGTCTAGGCATGTAGAGAAGCAACCAGAGCAATGTTCCTCAGTGATGTTTCTTGTGAAACAATGTGCAATGCATGAGTAACTGTAGCCAGCTGGTTGCAGACAGATTTAGTTAGCTCCTATGCTTGCATTCCTTGTTGGAAACAACTGTTTAGCCAACTAGCTCTTGAACTGTGTTCCTACTTATTGTTTGTGATTCTTGACCCTTGGACTTGTTGACTACCTGTTTTAGCAATCTGTGACTTTTGGAAACATCTCTGGGCTATGCTATTGCTTCTTGGATTGTATTTGACTCACTTCAGGTGAGCATTCTTTACTAGGCATTTGAATTACATTCTTGTCTGTTGTTATCTGCCTAAACAGCAGTAAATATTCCTGCTTCTAAAGTACTTTGTGCAACAACCTTAGAATAGAACAGTAACATCTTGTTCCATATCATTCTTGTAGCTTGTTTTTATACCTGCGTTCAAATCATTCTTAGGCTAAATTTTGTCCAGTGAAATCTGTTCCTCTTCTCTTTAAGTCCCATTTTTATTGTAGGAGACAATTTTCACAAACTTTTGCATGGATTGTTCCAAAATATCCTTGAAGTCTTTCACAAGACTATTTTGTTCCACTCTTATTAGTTGGTCTTTTCTTCTTTAATTATAATTTTATTCTTTCTGGTTCCTTCTAGAGTCCAACCTTAAAAATCACTTCTTATGTTTTCTCTAATCAACATTTTCCCATGCATTTTGTTATAATTTCAATTTTTTCAATATTTTATATAAAATTCAAAATAATCCATGAAAAATTCTTGTAATTAATTTCAAAATATTAATTCAACTTTGTCTGATCCTTTATCAATTTATAATTCTCCAAAATCAATGTTCTAATTAC